GGGCAATATGCTGACTCTCTGTAAACCGCTTAGAGAGGCCTGAAAGGCCTATGAAGCGGTATATAAGTCTACTGCTATTGCTATTGCTATAGGAACAAAATTGTTTTGTCCACCAAGAGAGTCATAAGTAATACATTGTACAAACAGCTGTAGAAACTTGCATGAGTCCTTAAATATCATTTATGGTCCTTTTCGGTAGGCTCAGCATCAGGTCAGGTATAAGAAAGAAGACACCATAGAAAATTTGAGAAAGGGAGATGAAAAAAACAATACGGATTGTTAGAGATAAAAATAGAACAAGAACTTTCATAATTTATTTTGCAAGAAGCTGGACTTAATGAAATGCCTTGCTTATTTTGTTAATATTGCACTTGAGGTTCATATCAGAATGATATGAACCCTCCTCCCACTCTCCCAAATAGTGAAGAAGCCATCCAAGTACCTTTTTTGCTAGGAAAGTCAGAGGTTTATTTCCTGCCAAATCTGCAAACCACGTATGAATTGCACTCTGGGACCGAGCAGTAACTAGCCAGTAATTGTCTTTAGCATTTATTTGCAATTTCTTCTTTCCTGTATCCTGGAATGTATTAAGTTTTAACTTCTCGGCTAATATGCTGCTAAAATAAGCACCAATCTGATAAGGAAAGAAAACACAAACAGAATAAGCATTTCCTAAAAGATAGATAGATAGATAGATAGATAGATAGATAGATAGATAGATAGATAGATAGATAGATAGATAGATAGATAGATAAAAAGATCAAGTGTACTTTAAGTACTACCTTGATAAGATTAGCCTCTAAATTCTTTATTGTAGTATTCAGATACTTGATAATCTAAATAGCTGAAATGGTCTCCCATTATCGTTCAGGTGTGGATATACAAGTTATTAACACTGAATATTTAAATATCTCTTAGGAGATAACTGGATTTCTTCGAGGGCCGGCTCAACATTGTAGTTCTCCTCTGTGGACCAGTGAAGGGCAGAGGAAGGATGGCTGCCTCCTGCAGCATCTGCTGGCCAAAATGTGCAGCCCCCCGTGCCTCATTTTCACCCTCCATGGCCTCCTGCAGCACTCTGACAGCCAGTTTGTGCCCCTTTTCAGCCTGTTTTTGGCCCATTTTTTGGGCCGTTTTAGCTGCCAGAGGCATTGCAGGCTGGTCCTTTGATATTTCCAGGCCAACCCCCTGGGCCAGATTTAAGCACCCCACAGGCCAGATCCAGCCTGCAGGCCTCGAGTTTGACACCTGTCTTAGGCTATAATAAAAATAAACCTTATTATTAAAGCATAATTGAAGTTAAAGAATCTGTCCAGAAAAGGCAATTGTTAATTTTGAAGTCTGTGACATTTTCCTTCTTTCAAATATCAATTAAAAATCATTTGTAAAAGTAGATCCTTAATCAGTATATTGAAGATTCATTTCAGACCAATATATCCAGATGTTTCAATTAAAACTGAAGGAGTAAGGCACTCCGCATTAGGAAATCAACATCCTTGTATGCATGCATTCACCTATGTATTCACAATTTTCAAATTACACAGATTTTCTGTTTAAAATGTTTAAAAAAACCAAAGACACGCATTACTAAATCAATAAAGAAAGTATTGCAAAACAGCATACCACATTTGAACTTCTTTAGAGGAATCACTTTTTGGTTGCAAAAAAGCACTTACCTTGGATGGGTTAATAACAATATTTCTAGCAGACCCATGTTCATCTCCTGAGAAAGCTGGCTGATTACTGAAACCTTGTTTTACATTTACAGCAGTTAGCTCATCCTACAAATAAAGAATAATGTTAACTTAGTTTTGCAAGCAGGTTCCAAATTCAAGTGAGGTCAGATTCTCACTAAGAAATTAAAATTTCTGTTGTGCTATGCATATGAGACACATTTCACACTTTCTTTGCAAATGCAAATCTGTTTATGAATTTTTGTTATAAATATTTTATACACAAATCTCTTATATTATCTAAAAATAATTAAATTTGGCACTTATCAAATTGATCTGAATACTTTTTTTAAAAAAAGTTAGACAATGTCACACATTAATGATACAAACTCTGGGTTCTTAAGGTAAAGGTAAAGGTTGCCCTCACACATATGTGCTAGTTGTTCCCAACTGTAGGAGGTGGTGCTCATCTCCATTTCAAAGCTAAGGAGCCAGCAGTGTCCGAAGACATTCTCCATGGTCATGTGACTGGCATGACTAAACGCCAAAAGCACATGGAATGCTGTTACCTTTCCACCAAAGATAATTGCATTTTTACATGCTTTTGAACTGCTAGGTTGGCAGAAGCTGGAACAACTAACTGGAGCTCACTCTGTTATGCAGCACTAGGGATTCAAACTGCCGAGCGACTGACCTTTCTGATCAACAAGCTCAGCATCTTAGTCACTGAGCAACCAAATGGGACACCATTTGGGTTCTAAAACATAGTAGGTAATTATTTCTTCTACTTCAACTACTACTAGTTTTACCCTAAAACATTATCCACGGAAAACCAATTTGATGTAGGAGTTAAGGCATCAGGCTAGAAAGTTAGTGAACTGTGAGGTCTTAGTCACACTTTAGACATGAAGCTGGCTGGGTGAACCTGAGCCAATCTTTTTCTCTCCGTTCTAAGAAAGAAGTAATGGCAAACTACTTCTGAAAAAATCTCGCAAAGAAAAATGCAGAGACTCATCCAGGTCTCCAAGAATCGAATATGATTGAATGGGGGGGGGGGGATCAAAGATCTTATAGATTTATAAAAAATAAATAAAAAAATAAAAAAATAAACATTATCCAGATTGGCATTTAGGAATGAGATGATTTATGGATAATACAATAAAACTTATTTGAGTACTTTGGTTTACTTTGTTACTTGTTTCAATTAGTTCATTCAGCTGTTTCTATTAGCATTTTACATTACAGAAACAAATGATTAGACAACCCAGGATGCAATTAGTTGTGGTTGTGATTCAGGTGACCTTGAAGGCACAAACTTCCCAAAGTGGCCGCACTAGCTCTCAGAGAGAGTGTTAATGACCAGAAGACTGCAAAGTAATACAATTCTTCCCTCTGCTTCCATTTTATCAGAATTTATCCTTCAATCCCACCCTTACCATTAGAACTGAGGAAAGTTCTTGGGTGAGAAGTGAATGTTTTCTCCTCTCAAGGAAAAAATAGTCCACTTGCCTTTTGGGGGGGGGGGAAGCACCTTTGAGACAACTATGACTTGGAATGACTGAGAATTTCCATAGGGGTTTAGATGCTAGTTTTAGTTAATCTGGTTAATTTAGTTAAGACTAAAAATAGCCTTAACACAACATGCTATTATGTTTCATTCTTATAAAATTCGGCAACAAAAACACTCTGGACTTCAACAGAGATCAAAATTCAAATCCTTGTCATTAGTTTCGAAGCTAACTCATGTCAACAGTGAAGATGAACCAGCCTTCTGTTTAAACAATAGCACAGCTGTACAGATGAAACTGTGGTTCATTGTAATTCATCTGAACTTCTATTTAAAAGATGCAGATGCAATTTTGAAGATATCCTTAGTAACTATATCCTTCACTGGTACAAGGCTTCCTCCATGTGTCTGCATAAGTTTGTGAAATGTCTAACTGTGATCATGTGCAAATTAATTATAAAGTGAAAACTATATACTGTGTCACAGTTTAGCATTTAAAGTATTTCTGCCTCTGGCACATCATCTTTCCATTGGAAATTAACTCCTATTTACACATCAATAAATCATTGTCATATATGTTTCCTAAGTTTCTATCTTGCATAACCTACCTACAAGGAGTAATGAATCAAACAGCCTATATCAGAAAGGATGATGTTTTTCCCAGTCACGTATATCAGGCCCATTTAAAGGACAAAAGGTAGAGACTGATGCTACATTTTAATGTACTCACTAAACCAGTAGTGGTGAACCTTTTAGAGGCCGAGTGCCCAAATTGCAACCCAAAACCCACTTATTTATCGCAAAATGCCAACATGGCAATTTAACCTGAATAATGAATAATTTCCCTCCCTCTTTCTTTCTTTCTTTCCTTCCCTCTCTTTCCCTCCCCTTTCTTTCCCTCTCCTTCTCTTTCCCTCCTTTCCTCTTTCTTCTGTCTTTCCCCCACTCTTTCTTTCTGTCTCTCTTCCCCCCTTTCTCTTTTTCCTTCCTCTCTTTCCCCCTCCCTCTCTTTCCCCCTTCCCTCTCTCTCCCTCCTTCCCTCTCTTTCTCTCTGTCTTCCCCCCCCTTTCTCTCTCTCTCTATTTCCCTGTCTGCCTCTCTCTATTTCTGTCTCTCTATTTCCCTCCCTTTCTTTCCCTCCGTCTCTGTCTCTCTATCTTTTTTCTCTTTCTCTTTTTCACTCTGACACTCTCTCTCTTTCTCTCTTTTTTCTCTTTCTCTCCCCCTTTCTATTTATCCATCCATCCATATATCCATCCAACTATCAATGCTCTCTTACCCATCTTCACATGATGTTTGGATCCAACCACGTGGGCTGTGGAGGGGAAGTGGAGGCTGGCAGACAAAGCCGAGCATTAAGAGATCCCCATGCAAAATAAGGCAACTCCAACATGGATTCTGTCAGGGAGACACCCCCCTTCCCTATCCCTCTTTCCCGCTTTCCATGGCAGAGGCCCGCATGGGCTGAGCACAGCTGTTTCCTTGGAAATGACCAGCAAGCAAACAAACATGGTGCTCCAGCTAGGAGGTGATGGTGCAGAGTCCCACCTTCGGCCAGAGAGAGCAGAGCAGGCAGGACATATACCTTCCCCATCACATCAATGGCACTGGGCAGGAGGGATGTACGAGCCAAACATTTGGAACTGTGCTTGGCAGAGTTTGCTAGTGGGGGCTCGGTGGGGCCATTTAGCGGGGAGGGAGACCCTGGCCCATTTGGTTCGCTTCAGTGCAGGGTGGGAATGCAGAAGGCAGAGGAAATCCATGCCTCTTGGCATTTAGCACTCAAAGATTGCTTTCGGGTGACTGGGAGGGGAGGGCGAGGGACGGGGCCAGCCAGTGGTGGGATCACCCAACAGGGAGCTGCAGCAAAGAGATGAAAGAGCCTCCACTTGCCAACATGTATCCTGTGACATACTATGCTGGGGCAATGGCACATGTGTCCACAGAGAGGGCTCTGTGTGCCACCTCTGGCACTCCTGCCATAGGTTCGCCACCAGGGCTCTAAGCCATAAAATATATATATATATTATCTTAAATAAACAAATTATAGAATGTTATTGAAAAGCAAAATTGAACAAGTTCAACTATGTACAGTCATTTCAAAATGCATATAAGGATTTTTTTTTTGAGCCAGCTGAGACACATCCTTTTGTTTAAATGAAACCAGCACACTAACTTTCTAAATGCAAAGAGATACTTTTGAACAAAAAGTCTTCCTTGTGCCTTCAGGCTTGTAATCCCAGCACTTCTCTGAAAAATGTACATTCAGTCTTAATGCTTGCAACAAAAAATCCCACACTGTTTGCCTTTGTCGTACCACACTATCAAATGTACACAGTTCCCAATTCAGAACAACATGAACAGCTTCAAATAACAGCAACCACAAAGCATTCCATTGATTTGCACCATAGATCTTATTTTTATCCAAGAACTGGATGTTCTCTATTGGGGAAAGTATTTTTTTTTCTATCCATAGATACACAGATAAATTTTAGATATAAATCAGGAACAGCAGACATAAGATATTGTAACAAAAGTGTTCTATCGTAATAGGCATCTACAAAAAAAAAAAATCTGTTCACCATTCAATCATCACACAGGTAGACCTTGATTATAACCATTCACTTAGTTTGAGGTTTTCATTTAATGACCATCTGAAGTTACCACAGCATTGGAAAATGTGACATCACAGTTTTTCACACTTGATCATTGCATTATCCCCATGGTCACATGATAAAAATTCAGACTCTTGGCAATTGGCATGTAGTTATAATGTTTCCAGTGTCCCAGGGCCCTATGATCATTTTTTCTGACCTTCTGACAAGAAAAGTCAGTGGAGAAGCCAGATGCACTGAACTGTGTTACTAACTTAACAACTGCAATTATTCACTAACAACTGTGGCCAGAAAAAATATATCTCATAAAATGGTACAAAATTCACTTAACAACTATCTAACTTAGCAAAAGAAGTTTGGGGTTTAAATGTGATTGTAAGCCAAGGACTACTTGTAATTCCTTGGTCTTACTTTATGGAACATGATATTCACCCATTGCATGTTTATTCACATCCGTTCTTTGATATTTCATGAGAGCCCAGCTTCATTTTCCAGAAGTATTGGGATTACAACTCTCAATATTCCCAGCCTATATGACCTAAAAGTTTAACAGCAATCTATCTTGTTGATCTTGTTAGCTGCTTTAGGGATTATTAGAGTTATTCAGCAATTAAAACCAGCTGTAAAACAGCAGTGATTCAGACATGACATAGTGACCTAGTTTATTCCTCAAATTAAATCACAATTGGCTGGGTACATATACTGCCCTAAGCCATAAACAAAAATGCACAAATGATTCCGTTTGTCAATAAAGCTGCTGGTCTCTTGGTGTGTGTATGTGTGTGTGGTTGTGTGGTTGTGTGTGTGTGTGTGTGTATTTCCAAGCTGTGACATTTGTGGCGCGGCGGTGGTCACCGCACATTTTGGGTTTGCCTTTTGCTTTGGTGATTCATTTCAGTGGAGACATGCCGTCGTTTGCATTCAGTTGGACTCAGAGAAGACAATACAACAAAACCAAGCAAAATATATTTTACCATGATGTAAAA